CGGTTGAGCACGATGGACAGCGGTGTTGTGTAGATCAGGCCACCCCCTTCTATTTTCACCTTGTCAGTGACCCCAGGCGTACCAGCTTCCCGTTGTCCAAGAGATGCTAATCGGTCTTGACCATGTGCAAACGGTTCATGCAACTTACAAGCTCGAGTTTGACACCTCACCCTTCACCGCATACGTTCTTCGCGCGGGAGAACACAGCCCGGACGCCCTCGAGCTCCTCAGAGAAAGACCTCGTGTGCTGTTTCGCTTCGACGCTCGCCTGACACGACGTGATGTGTCAATCGTACCCGGTGTCGCGAGGATTCGTGCCCCAACGAGTGCCGATGTACACGTTCAGGCGATACGTTTCTTCCCAAGTGAAAGCGAACGTTCCTTTGCTGCACGAAGTCGTGAACGAAATGGTCACGGGGAACGCTGCTCGCGTCGTGTTCTCACGTCTTGATTGCTCACTTCTTTTTGAAAAAAAAAAAATAATAATAAGCACGGAAGGTTGCTGCAAGATGTGAAATGAAACAGCTTGGAACAACTGGCGCGCGATAACGAGGCGCAGAAGGAACGCAGGAGGAGAGAAGGAAAGGAACTCTGTTGTCACACAGACCGACTTTATCCGGGTTTCGTTGTTTTAGTTTGGTTTTCGCAGTTCCTTGAATTGCACGACTATGCAACCCTATACGATAACAGAATCACTCGGTAGTTTAATAGGCCCCTTTCGAAAGTGCGTGCCCTCTGTTGGAAGCTGTGGAATCCCTGCCCAATGGCGGACACGAGTGCGAGCTTCTCGAGTCCGAATGCGTCCCGGCTCACGAGCTTTCGCGCAGCTGAGAGCACAAGTCGAAGCTAGCCGCTCGCGCTACTTGCACGTTCCGTTGTTCCACCCACAGCCTCCTCTCTACTCACAAAGCCTGGCAGTTCGACGACGGAAGCATAGAGTGGCCGGTCGCAGATTTGGAGCACGAGGACCTGGTAGCACAGAGCATCAAAGAGCCATTTTTCGGGGAACCTGGACGTCAACGCACAGTTTTTGCAGCGGCGAGGACCCAAAACGCGCTTGTTCGCTCGGGAGAAGTGTGTTTCGGCGTTTTGCCGCAGCGGGGCGCCAGTCACGTGGCTCTCCTCTCCTCCGCTGTCTGGCGCAAAACCTCTTCCATTTCGTGGCCGCTTCTCGTGGCGATCTGCCAGGCTTTGCCAGTATATAGGAGGCTATGTTCCACCGTATAATGTCGTAAATCGGAGTTGTTGTTTTTTAGTTAGATTAACAAATATAAGATGCCGACGCCTTGCCACCACGGAGACTGTGTGGTTATCGGGGTGCGCGATAAAGGTCATTGTTTTCCTATGGCTAAACTGATCGAGTCAAGTACTACATTAAAGCCACAGTCACGCCGCACACATCGTACGATAGACGCGGTGTTCGTTGCAAGGGTGACATATTGATCCGCGGGCGCGCCACGAGCATTTTCCAAGCATGTTTGCTTTGTACATTAACCTGAAACATGTCTGACTACTTGAGCGGCGTCAGCGAAATTACCGCGGCTCGGTGCACCGCAATACTTTGCGTGAATAATAGACAGTTTTAGTATTAGCGGCGAGATGTTTTAGTGGCGCCCTCCTGTGGTTACCTTTCATGACGTCATTACCTCACGAACAACAAGTTCGATGGTGTTTGTAAGGAGCGTGGTGGAAGCTTGAAATCATTGCGTTCTTAAAGCAACACTAACAGCACCGTCAAAATTGAAGTTCTTCCATTCCTCTTATTTCCGTCGATGAGAAATCCTTTGCTGACGTCATAGTCAGCATTCGGCCAATCGCGGAAGGCCGACCACAGCGACGCTTTCGATCGCGCACGTCGCCAATAGCGTTGCTGGCTCTTGCCTACGCAATACGCAATAGTATAGCGTACGTTAAAAATGACCTGCTCGGACCGAATTTAGTTGTGCGTTACGTTTTCGAGTGAACACCGCGCATGATCTTGGTTAGCGCACACCAGCTCGAAGCACGTGGAGCGAAAGCTCGCGCTGCAGAACCCAGGGATCCTGGGTTCAATCCCCACCCCTGCCCGTTTCGATCTGGATGAGCATCGTACCGGCGTGCGGTCGTGTATCACTACTGCGTGATGCACGTTAAAGACCCCAGGCTGGCGGTTGTACTGCACTGGCTAAATTGCTCATCTACAGCTGGGAGGCTCGTCGCCCCTGTGAGGCAGACCAAGTTCTAGGCTGTATAAACATACACGCAACCCAATTTTTTTTTCTTTTTAGATTTGCTAGAGCTGCAGAATTCCGCGTGCTTATAGCCCAACCATGCTCCTGGAAAGAAATATCAAAAATGAAAAAGTGTCCAATCATTTTATTTCAAATTATGGTACGTTTACACCTGAAAAGAAATCCGCTGCCGCGGGAGCGGATCCGCTCCCGGCGGCGGCGGCGACGAGCTGGTTGTGTTTACATCTATTTCCTTCGCTCAAGCTTTGCTTGCTGCACGAATAAAAAAAAAAAAAAAAAAAAAAAAAATCTATTTCCTTCGAGCAGTGGCGGCAGCGCCGGCTGCGGCAGCGGTTCCCGTAACGTCTCGTCAAATATGGCGAGAAGGCGCGAGAGTTCCCGCCTCGGCTCTCTCTCTCCCGGGCGTTGGTGCTCCCGGAAGAACGCGTACTCGTGACGTAGGCAGCGTCGCGCTGCGCAAGAATGTCACATCCGGTCAGCGAAACGCCTCGTTCGGCGGCAGAAATAGATCCCGGACCTAAACGGCTCGCCGCCGCGTTTTCCGCCCAGCGTTTCGCCCCAGCGGCAAAAGCTGGGCGGATCCGCTGGCGGATCCGCAAGTGTAAAGCGTAGACCGCATGGAGCGTTTTTCTGCACGCGAAAACGCGACGCGCTATGAACGCTCGCGCGGAAGCTGACGCGGGGGCACCCGCATGCATCCAAAGCCGAGCGCCGCCGGCCGCGCGTTATCACCGTTGCCAGATAACAGAATTCTCAACGCGCGATGTAATTGCTCACGCAAATACTACAAAATAAGAGTTAAAGTAACAAATAAGCAAATAAAACGAGTTTTTCTGGCAAAACTAACACTTTTTTAATTTTTATGTGGCCAATAAAAATGTTTTTGAACATTTTGAATTGCGCTGAATACGAAACAGCGTACTGAGCCAGCCGCGTCGCGAGTGGTGTGTTGATCAGGTTGTTCGTGTTGCGTCCTCTCCTGCGCTGAAGTTCAAGTGAAGTTTACTTTAGTGGAAGCTCTATTTGCCAGAAACTGAGATTTGCTCTAGTCCAGTATGGAGCGAAAGCGAAAGCTCCTCCTGCTAAGAAGTATGCTTGTGCTAAAGCAGGCACAGCTGGAGCATAGATCATCTCCCTGGGTGCGTCCTGTGTGGCTGAACAGAAAGGTTGAAAGCGAATACTACACAGCGGTAAGCACCTTTTTATTACATCTGCCATGTTATTAACTTCAAAAATCTATGAAACTAACTTTTCCGTTTACTCTAGATGCAGGTCATGAGAGATCAAGATCCCCAGTTTTTTTTTAGGTTTTACCGCATGTCGCCGCAGCTTTTCGACAAGCTACACCGGCTTGTTGCCGAGAGGCTGACGAAGCAGCACGTCGTGCGGGAGCCGATCACCTCCGGCGAGCGCCTGGCGATGACGTTGAGGTAATGAGCCGGGCAGAACCACTGCCGTGATTGCACCTGGTTTCTATTTCTTCAGCTGTCGACCCGTTGCTTTCAGCTTTGTCTTGTGTTCTCTTCATCTCCGTGTGTCGTCGTCCCAGTCGCGCTGTTTTTCAACATGAACCCATTACACTCACCACATTTTTTGCATTGATTAGACAAGCTCCCCACGAGTGGTGTGCCATATTCATTTACACATTAATTTTCTTATTTCCTACTTAGGGGTCAGTAGGCATGTCAACCTTTTCTACGCCCTGGGGACAAATGCACTTTTGTTTTGGTGGAAAAAATAAATTGTAATTAAGTATGGTGCACCTCTCGCACCTTCAGCATAGCATTCCAGTAGACAGTAGGTTACTTCATTTGACTGATTAGTTAGTTCAACCAGTTCTTGATTCAAGCCATGTGTCAATCCACATCCAAATTCAAATACCTTATTGTTAGGAGAAGCATTGAAATGATTATAAATGCAATAAAAACTGTATCAGGACAGTGGAAGATCAGTAACTCAAACTAACATGCAGGTCACATCCGAGTCTTATCATTTGAAAACTATAATTTGAACTCCGCATTATTCAAAGAAATTTTTGGTCCCATTCGAGTTTGAATTAACGAGATTCCACTGTACTGATTGTAGGTAACAAACAGAATGATTAATTTTTCTATAAGATGGTCATCTTTTGTGCAGGTACTTAAGCTCTGGCAATCCCATCATGGATATCGCCATGGAGTTCCGGGTGGGCCTTGAGACGGCCCGTGAAGCAATTCACTTGACGTGTCAGGTGTTGTGGGAGGAGCTGGCCCCCCGTTACATGAAGGTATGTACGATAACAAAAGTTTAGCTTATATGTCTGAAATGTTTAGGGAAACAAATCCGCCTGTTGACAAGTTTTCTAAGGTTACGAACACTTTGTTTTGTGCCGTAACCTGGTGCCAAAACTAGTTTCACGGTGCATAAAGAGTACATGGCCTATAATAGTACTTGTGGAATATAATGATAGTTATTGTTAAGTGATTTGTTATTCTTTGCAGCCTCCCAGTGAACAGGACTGGCAAACCATCGCAGATGCCTATTGGATGCGGTGGCAATTCCCAAACTGCCTGGGGGCTGTCGATGGGAAACATGTGCAGGTTGAAGCGCCAGCCAACTCGGGCAGCCTCTACCACAATTACAAGGTATAGAAAGAAGAGCTAAAATCAAATTACAATGCATGCAGATTTTGTGCCCTAAAATTTGCACATGTTTACATCGAGGCTTGTTCTAAATGCACTTGTACCATGCTCATTTTTTTCTTTTCAGGGCACTTTCTCTATCGTGCTGATGGCTGTGGCCGACAGCAGTTACGTCTTCCGGCTGATTGATGTCGGCGCCCCTGGTCGCATGAGTGACGGCGGGGTCTTAAAGAGGTCCCCAATTGGCCAGCGTCTCCAAGCTGGCTTGCTCGGACTGCCGTCCCGTGCCCAGCTCCCCGGCTCCAAGATGATACTGCCCTACACATTCCTGGGCGACGAGGCCTTCCAGTTGAGGCCCGACTTCATGAGGCCATATCCTGGGTCGAGGGAGGAACCAGCCGAGCGCTGTTTCAATTACCGACTGAGCCGTGCACGGTGGGTCAACATAAGGCATTTCATTTGGCACATTTACAGATAAATTAAATTACATACTAGTGTTACTTTAGACTCTCTTGTCTGACAATTTACCTTCCTGTATATCTCTGCTTATGGGTCCTGGCGTTCTCGGGGTCAGGGAGAACACCAATGTTCACGACATGGTCAAGGACCTTTAGTTCACCATAGGTGAACCGACACTTTGTTGGCTTGAGTGACATGCCGGCAGTCTTGATGGCTTGAAGCACGGCTCAAAGTCGCCTCGTCTCGGATGTTTGTCGAAATCCCATGAAAATACCACGACATCGGTTAGATAGACAAGGCAGCTCTGCCATTTCAGACCTGCTAGCACGGTATCCATAACACGCCGGAAGGTGGCTAGTGCTACACAAAGTCCGAACAGCATCACTTTGACCTCATACAGTCCATCAGGAGTGACAAAGGCAGCTTTCTCGCCTTTGTCGAATTCAATCTACCTGCAGTCACTCTATAGGTTCATCGACGAAAAATATCGGGAGTGGCGCGGTCGGTCTAACGTATCGTCGATGTGGGGGAGCGAATAGTCGTTCTTAGTCACAGCATTCAGTCGACGATAGTCCACGCAAAACCTCAGGGTTCCGTCCTTCTTTACAAGGACGACTGGCGATGCCCACGGACTTCTTGAAGGTTGTATGATGTTGTCGTCGAGCATCTCCTGCACTTGATCTTGAATCACCTTCCTTTCCTTTAGGGAGACTCGGTACGGCAAGTGGTGGACAGGGAGCATGTCGTCGTCGGTAACAGTGCAATGTTTCGCCACTGGTGTTTGGCGAACTTTCGAAGACGTGGCAAGGCAGTCGCTGTATTCAGCGAGGATATCAATTAGTTGCCAGCGCTTTGGAGCTGGGAGCTCGGGGTCGATGTCGAGCTGCAGCAGCAACGCGCTTTTGTGCTGTGATGGCGAGGTTTCCTCAGAGATTGCGGTGACCACGACTGACACCTGAAGCTCCTCAATGTGGCCCACGGTGGTAGCCTTTGTTAAGTGCTGCGGGTCCTTGCGAAAGTTTGTCACGAGAACAGTTGTACATCCTTCTTGGAGGTCCATTATGCCTCATGCGACGCCGGCGTAGAAGATTCAGCGCGTAGAACATTCCGACTTCGAACAAGCGACATTCTAGAATTTACCAGAACGCGACAATTAGAAAAATAACAAAAAGGTGCCTCCGTTACTAGGTATCGAACCTCGACTCTTTGCGTGGGAGGCACACTATAACTGTTCGGCCACGGGTGCGCTGCCTAGTTGGTCAGCTGTGCGCACGGCAATATCAAGTTCTATGAATAGGGGATGACTTTGCTGCTTGAAGAAACAAGAAATGTACGGTGTCCAATAATGAGTTTCCCTGTAATCTATTGACTGTGAGTTGCCGATGGCATATCGACTGGTCTCGCTGATCTCGTGCTGCTACATGATGGCATAGAATAATGTGTATCAACCACTTTCGGTGTATACTTTAAACTGCTTTGAAGACAGATTGCACACAGGCAACTCACACCTCAGATTTGCTTGCTTTTTTTTTTTTTTTTAGTAAATGTGATGTTGTTTTTATTCCTGCAGGAGGTGCGTCGAGAACTCATTTGGCATTCTGGCTGCCAGATTCAGAATATTCAGGGGGCCCATTAAGCTAAAACCTGAGAACGCAGAAAAAGTTGTGAAGGCCTCCTGTGCTCTGCACAACTTCTTGAGCCTTGAAGTCGAAGGGCGGTCGGCGTACTGCCCTGCGGGCTTCGCAGACCATGAGGATGCCTTCGGCAAGGTTGTTCAGGGCCAGTGGAGGAAAGAAACTGCCACAGACACGGCCACCTTCGACCTGGAGCCCACCCACGCAAGGAGGAGCAAGGAGACTGCACAGGCAGTGCGTGACCACTATGCGCAATTCTTCATGAAGGAAGGAAGAGTGCCCTGGCAGTGGAAGATTCTAGATATAAAAGAGCCAGACAACTGAACATCTTTGGACAAGTGGAGCACTTTGCTTACTTTACAGGTTTTTAGTCTATGTGGTAGTTTTTATTGTAATTAGTGTGTAGAAAAGAGCCAAGAAAGTTTTTGAATAAAAGAACATGAGTGCATCAATACTGTTCTTCCTCTTGCACGCTCAAATTAAGTGTACAAAAATGACCAAACAGGAGACAAGGTAAAGCCCACAGAAGACAGTATTTCCTCATTTATTCACAAGGTGGATACTTTGCCGCAGTTTGCAGCAGCTCAATCTCCATGGCAGACCGTTGTTGCTTAGGGCACTGGCGGAGCTTCTCGGCTATCACTGAGCCGAAGTGTTCGGCTGAGTCTGTTTCCTTACATGCCAGTTGGCCAAGCAGGTTGATTTCTTTATCAAATGGCTTCTCGGCGCGTCGTTTCTTCCGAGGTGCGCCTGGTGCACCATTCATACCGATAGTAGAAACTGGATATGGACGGCTTGACGATGCACTTGGGCACGGTGGCTCTGTCACATTCATAGGCTCTTGGGACTCTGGCAGGATGCTTGCATCAGCGCTTGTGTCATCGCACATATGTTGGAGCAAAAGCTGTGCAGGGGAGAGCTCGCAGGCTCCTGTTGTGGACGACCGGTCCTCCATTGCTGGCAAGTTTCCGCTGGTCCTATTTTAAATATGCAAGAATCAGTTATAAGACATTCACTTAATGCTTCTGAAGACATGTAATCTTTGTTTTTCAGAGTGAAATCAAGCATTTGCACTGTCGGTAAAACATAACTGACTCTAGCTGTCTGGGATACATTGAAACAAACCGCATTACAGGATACCCATATGCGAGGCCTCAATGACAGCGAATTGTGTATTGACATTTTGAGACGTAATGGTGTAACTGCACCAGGAGCTGGCTCATTTTCTTAGTTTTCATCTGTCCACTACATTCATTAGATCTATGCCAATAGCGTATAGTTCACCACTGATATTTCATTCTGTTAACAGAGGTCTGTTGAGCCATGTGCAGTTATGTTCAGTACAAATGAATAATTATGAGGACTACAGAGAACAAGTGCAAAGAATTATTTTACATACTGTGTATATTCCAAGGTGTCGTTGAGAAACGTCATCCGCTTAAAATATGCCCAGCAGACCACGACAACTTCGTCCGCACCTGCTCCACTTCTTGGGGCATTGACATCTCTTTTCTTTTTAACATAAGTGTCACGTAGTGACTTCCACCGCTTCGTTGCTTTTGGCCCTGTAAAACGTAAAAACATATACATTCTGGGAATGGGTGAACATCAAGAGCACCTTAGACTTTTGATAAACAAGCCGGCGAGGAGGTGGCAAAGAGTGAGTGACAAGATCCGTGCTCCAGATTCAGTCACATTCTTGCACAGGAGACTGATATTTCTCTATCGGTCAAAGTTATGTGACCCGATAAAAGCAAATTAAAAAAAAAGGTTATGCATGCTGTGGTGCTGTAGCAAAAAAAAGTGCAACTAGGTGGTACAAAGTTTTGTTAAAACATTAAAAGAACATAACCAGTCATAACCTGCAAATATAGACAGTTGACTACCGAGAAGAAAAAAAAACACGTTTGGACTAGGTAAATGTTTGATCTAAAGAGAAGGAAGAAATTCGCTGCCCTAGCCTTCTTCATATTTTTTTTTTTTTTTTTTTTTTTTTTTTTAGGAGGGATTGGTGGTTAACGTTGTCGGTGGCCGAGTCGTTTAGCGCACACCAGCTCGGAGCACGTGGACCGAAAGCTTGCGCTGCAGAACCCAGGGATCCTGGGTTCAATCACCACCCCTGCCCGTTTCGATCTAGAAAAGCATCATACCGGCGTACGGTCATGTATCACTACTGCGTGGTGCACAAGAACCCAGGCTAGCGGTGGTACTGCACTGGCTAAATCGCTTATCTACAGCTGGGAATTGTATAAACAAACGCACACCCCAATTTTTTTTTTTTGTTCAATTAGACGGCACAAAACGCGTTTTCTTCCCCTCGGTGTCATGAAAAAAACTCTAGATCCGTAGAAAACTTATCGTGTTCAATGGCAACGTATAATCTGCGCACCGTTGTGACAAAGCACAAACTATTTCCCCTTAGTAAAACACTATACGATAGAATTGTACGATGACAACGCGTAAAAAGCAGCATGCACATGGTGCTTGTGGCACCAAAGCGGAAGGGCAAAGAAAACACATACCTTCCACTCCCAGGATAGTACCTATGGTATTCCAGACGTGTTTCTTCTTGTCATTATTTTTATACTCCTTATCTGATAGGTCCCAAAGAATGGGGCGCTTCTCAACCTCGTCAATGAGCATTTCATTGAATGCACGTTTGTCAACCATCGCACGTGCAATCGGCAAACAAAAAGAAGCGCAGTCAAACCGGCAAAACCAGAAGCGGTTTTCTGTGCAGAATCGATCGATGGATGGATGAATGAATACGGCTGAGCCCTTTGGATCGGGCGGTACCTTACGCCACCTAGCCATGTGATGGTTCGAGCGACTCTCATTGGTCGAGAGCCGCTTCGACGCCTCGGCGCGCGCGTCTTGTTCTGGGTCGGCTAGAAACCAACGCTCCCGCGAAAACGCGCGGCCGCGCGCAGGAAATGACGTCAATTTGACGCCGACGCGCCTGAATCGCGAGCAAAAACGCTCCATGCGGTTTGCGCTTAAACGTACCCTGCCTCGTCAAGCGTGCTTTTCCGCGGGGTACAGAGGCTATACGAGTAAAGGCCGGTTCAGACACTTGCGTTTGAGTGCGTTTGACTGCGTTGCATTGAGAACCGAAAGCGAGTCACCGGCGCATCTGTGCTTCGTATGAAGCGTGCAATCCAATTCAAAGAATCATCTTAGCAAACGATATAAGTAGCAGGGATGTCCTGGTTTCTCGCTGCCGCAACGCAGTCAAACGCAACTGTCTGAACCAGGCTTAAGAGTGCGTAGCCAAATTCGAACACGGAGCCTCCGTCAATCGTCCTGTTGAAAAGGCACCTTCTATCAATGCTATCGCGGAATGAAATTCATGACCCTGATGTCCAGTGCATAGCGAGATCTTCGGCGATTTCTTTTAGAGTCGCTCGTCCGTCGGCAATGAACTGTGCGAATAGGCTTAGCGTTGAGCAGATCGCAGCGTTGTATATTCCGAGCGGCGAACATTTTCACTGTGCACTCCTTCAGCTGCACGACGATCTTATTTGACCGCGGTAGGTCCCAGAAAGAATAGCCGAGCTGAACACCACGCAATTTTACGTAACACAGAACTTCGAAAACACCACGTCACCCTTGTTGCGCCAGTCGAGGTAACCGCCATCTTGAAACTGGCGCTCTCGTTGGGTCCGAGATCTCTCGAGAGCGTCCCGCAAAGCCCGCTAGCCCGCCTCGCAAAATCCCCAGCGTTGCGTGCGTACGCAATACACTAGCCCTTCTATTGCGTTCTGCGCAAGCGCACTCACGACCCGCAATTTTATTGCGTACGCAAGGCTTTAGCGTACGATCTACTAAAACTGTCTAATGTGACAAGTGGCGCTTCATTCCGCGTGGACGCCGCAGTATGTACGCTAAAGCCTGATTCGCATGCTGCGATTTCGCTCGCAATTTTCAGTCGCGACGCCGCTCGGGCTGCAAAAGCGTGAACCGTAGCTGAGATAGTCGACGTCGATACTGAATATCGCAAGCAGAATCGGACCAAGTGAATTAGGGATAACAAGTCGGTGATGGTCACTGGTAACAATGATCAACATCTTTTTGTATCTACTGTTTACATCAGGCCTGCTTACCAACCTTCAAATTTAAGTCTTTTGAAGCCTGCACTTACTTATTATCGCAAGTACCGGGCGAACATTTGGTCTACAGGCCGGCGTCGTCTAGAGCAGACGACAAACAGAAACGTTTGAAAGAGCAGACGACAGTTCGAACGATCAGGCGGCCGTTTGAACTTGAAGGCGCACTGAACGTAGTCCGCAGGTGGTCCGCACAACTTGACGGTTTTCTGGCGTTCATGTTGGAACAAAACAAATAAATCTGATGACCACAAGTATCCGTGAATTCAACCCAAAGTGCTTCCCGCCCAAGCAATAGTTTTCCGACAGCGTCTGCTTTTCCCTTTTCACGGCACATATGCAGATTTTCGGACGAATCGAGCACATGAAGACTGACCTTCAAACCTTTCTCGACACTCTTGGTATGGCCCCAGTCGCGGCGTTTTGACGAGAAGGCAGGTTTTTGTCTGGTTCCCTTCAAAACAACGCAGGAATACACGTCTGGCATGGGGACTTCTGCCCACAGCCCCAGACCGGAAGTGCGACCGACGCGCCACCACCGCGCCGTGACGTAACAGAGATGAGTGGTCCCTCGCGTCGCTCACAAAAGTCCGCTGCGCGTTCTCTTGGACTTCCCACCGTTTCAAAGGATTTGAGATCGCTGAAAGGGGCCCTAAAAGAACTTTAAACTCGAAAGTCAAGCGATCGTCTGCTCGCCGCGATAGGCGGCACTGCAGGCACGGAGGGAACCGGTTGTTCCCGGTACGCCGGCGAACACGACACTTCGGGTGGCAGCGGCAACGGCGGTTCGGAACGGAGGCGTGAGAGAAACTCGACTCGCAGGACGGCTCAATATTTGACGTCACGGCACCGGCGCGGATCGCGCGGAAACTTCAACTTCGGCACTTAGAATTTTCTTTATTATTATTATTTTACAAGTACTGAATTTCCAAGCTTAAAGTTTTGAAGGTGATGTCCAGGCATCGTTTTCAATCGTTTCGGATCATAAAAAAAAAAAAAAAAGAAAAAAAAAAAGATTTTGACGTGTCAGTGCCCCTTTAAGAGTGACTGGCGGTGTTTCGAGTGCATTGCGGTACAGTCTACGTGCAAGAGCTTTTGAGAGTCTTGACAGCGTTTTTCATCCAAGAATTCATCACAAAACCAAACAGTCACTGAGGATTCTTTTTTTTTTTTTTCTGCGTGTAAACACAAATGCCCAGATAACCCATGGGGCTCGCGATTATGCGTGTTCATTTCACATTAAAAATCAAAACGGCGTGAGGACACGGACAATAAAAAGAATGTAGACGAACAAGGCGCTTTAATTTTGAATCTTGAAATACCAACTAGCCC